ATGGGAGCAGGGCGCGGCAACGAGAAAGTGGGGAGTTCGGGCGCCAGGGCGCCGCGGCGTCGCGTCCTGAGTAACGGTTTGCGTCCTGTGTGTCCTGTGCGTCTGACGCACAGGACGCACAGGACGCAAGCATCTTTTTTTGCTGATGTATAATTTTAGAGATAGAAAGAAGCAAAAATATATAAAACAATAGGTGGTTTTGAATAGGAGTGTGGTGGTGGTTGTTTTTTCCTCTGTCCTCCTCTGTGGTTGCCATCTATCCTAAGAACAAAAAGAAAGTCATACCTCCACTGTGCAGAACTGTGCTAAGCTATCCTCCTAACCACTTAGTCTTGCGTACACAAATACCAGAAGAAACACCGTCTCCCGACCCTAAAACCTATACCCCCTTCACACTGGTAGAGTACTAGTACTGTATGAGGATGATAATTTACCTCGCTTCTACCCCTACACATCTGAACTGCAGGTCCCGAAGGTTCCTTTACGGGGTTTATCACCCCAAGTAAGCATCTTATCCAGAGAGCCCTGTGTAGACAATGGGCACCAGGAGCTCTAGGGGCCGGATGCTCTCCTGGATTCATTGGTCTCTACTACCGTAGCCGATTTAAAAAGTATCCGGACACCTTGGCGCCAAGACAGGGCCACTGGGTGCCAAGGTGTCCGGATACTTTAAAAATTAGCTAGTATTCTGACTGTGCCACATCGAAGCCTGGTATCGTTATTATCGGGACTGAGTATATTTTAGTACGCGGGCTGATGTGGGCGATCATTTTTTTTAGAGCCGGGATCAGTTAAGGCTCTTCTCGAACAGTAGTTAAATAGGGGGATTTAGCTGGTTCTACGCACGGATCGCTAGGGCAAGATATGCTCTGTAAGGACTTTAGTGGGGATACCCGAAGTATTTTTCTTCTGTCCTAGGTGGTTATATACCCACCTAGAATATTCCTTCTCCTGGGAAAACCTTCGGGAAGCAACAAATAGTACTAGAAAAGATAGCTAGAATATGAAATAAAAGACTTGGGCTATTTGCCAAGATGGATTCGAGAAAAAAGCACAAAGATTTGATGCTGCAAGAAGGTAGGAAGGATGAATCAAAGGCATTGTTAGGAGACTATTTGTGATTTGTAGTGTGATCGGGAGATATGAGATAATAATCAACCTTCAGGAAACTCGTGCTAAATCCCTAGAAAATGGTTGGGCTTAGCCTAGGATGCGATTCATCTCTTGTTACCCTAGGGGCCTTTGCTCCTAACCAGGTAAATCCCCCTAATGTACTCGAGTATCGTACGGTTAGAGTTACGGGTACGCACGTATGGGGCAGTGGAATGTGCGCTTGAACGTGTTGCCAGAGAGATGATCTCGTGGTCTTCGGGTTGCAACTCCCGCATTATGGAGAGGCGCAGATACGAGTACTATACTAGACTGCATTAAGGTAAGTTAGTTAACTACTGGAGGGTGATGGCCTTGCTGTTACGGAAGTCTATCGTCACACGTACTCTGGTCGCGCTATCCTACCGATAGTGGTGGATGTTAAGTACGCTAGGAAATTTGGACTTGATCAACTTTGAAAACCCCTACTCTAAGGAAGCGGAGCTCTCCTGCTCCCGCATCGTATTGATCACAGCTAGATCGGATGGTGAAGGCAATCAGAGCTAAACTCACGGCAACATGGTGTAGTGTGGAAGCACCCGATCACTGTGCCGTAGGATGCCTGCCGCAAGAGGCACGGGATCATGGTATGGTGGGTCGCTTGCCTGAGCTCGGGCTTGAGGACTTGTGAGGTTGCGGGCCCTCTCACCGGTTTTAACCACCTCAGTCAGAGTGCCGATCCGCCCAGACTACTAAATATCCTCATTGGTCAGTTATCTGAGGGATTGTCGCTGGATGTCGGTGGCTGGTTGCTAGTGGCCAATCAGAAAATGCGGGGTAGTACCGGTACAGGACAGCCACCCACCGACGACGTCATTGGCCCGTGACCGACTCGCCCTGGCGCCTCCTGCGTGGAGGGTATAATTGAGGTGAGTTCCCCATATTTTTTCCCTTCTTTTTCAACTCTCTCCCCCTTCGTCTCCAGCTGTCTCTCGTTCGATAATTAGCGCCCTCAGTTTCGTTTGGGTGTCTGTGGGTCAAACCAAGCCCTGCGGAATCCTTTTGAAAGTGACACATAACGCCTAATTACGGTACTGTGGATCCGGGCACATCGAGCTGTCCCACACCGAACCTCAGCCTTGAGCTAAGCGAGAGAGAAGAAAAAAATGGCTTTCTGTACGTCACCGGGCCCGTTTTTAGGGGATGGTGTCTTTCAGGAAACATGTTGCTGATTAAATTATAAATCCTAGCCAACCCATTCTCTCGTGACGTCGAGGGTAATAGCCGCAACATTCCTGCCTATCGTGCCTTCACTATTATCTCGTGGCTCCTATCCTTTGTCGTAGCCATAGTTTATAGCATATCTCCTCCGCGAGATGGTCATTGGACCTCGGGGACCATCTTAGTATGTATTTGCATCCCTTTCCCGCTTTTGGTTGTACCGGGTTGGCAAAAAAATCTGAAACCTTTCAGGGTATAAGCAAAGCGCATATCACACCTTTCACCATTAGTCATGTATTCGTCGCCATTTACTGGATCGTCTTATACTGCGCCCAGATCAGTTTCGTTGCTCAGTTGTTTAGTAGGTTGACTTGGGCCTTTTTACAGCTGATTGGTGCTGATAGTTCCTGGCATAAGGGAGGGATGAGGCCGCTGTAACGGCTGCTGCTTCCGTTGGAAGCCATTTCATTCTGTCGGTCCATCCCCCAATTATCAATTGTCTCAGCTGCTAACATGGAGAAAGTTTCAACCTTTTGGAATTTGGCTGGGTTATGCTCTGGACTCGCTCGCTATTTTACTGGAGTGAGCTGTTCGCGGTTCTAAACTTCTTGCAGTTGGTCTTGCTGTACCTCCGCAATCCTACGACACCAAGGTGAGTTACGACCCATGCTACCTCAACGCTTGCTCAATTTGACATTCATATCCACAGGTTTGTACACATTCCGGCTACAGCCATGCCTTTGGCGTGGTCGTTCTTCCTCGTTCTTTGGAACGGATCTGTCATGGTTGGATGCCATGGTCTCCCATGCCATGTCCTTGCCAATATCGCGATTTGGGGTATTGCAGTCTTTGCTGGCTTCTTCCTCGTGGTATTTAAGGATTACCACGTGGGTTTCGCAACCGCCTTCCTCGCTGCTGGCTTGGGCGTTGGCCAATTCTTTACTAAGGTTATCGCTCTGCAATGGATCTTTGCATTTACGATTATGGCAATTGTGTTCCTCTTCACCTTGGCTGTTGCAGTGCCTGGAATTTATGGAAGAGATACGGGGTTGGAGGCTCGAGGTGGGGACAGGGAGAGAGCTCCATTGCTGCACGAGAGTAGCTGAGGCAAAGACCGGATTGCCTGGTGATATGGCTGCAAGTGACCGGAGAGCATGCGGATGATGATGGAAATGGTTTAATGGAAGGTGATTTCCGCTTCGGTTAGGACGTGATGAATTTCTCTCTCTCTCTC